CCTCTTGGGAGTAAGCCGACTGACATAATGGTGTAAAATAGCTTTTTAGGGGAGTTTGGTAAGCTGAAGGGAAAAAAGCAAGATGCGTTTAGAAAAAGATTTTTTTTCCTTCAGATTGCAAAAATGTTTTTTTTTGCATCCTGCCTTCAGAAAACAAACATTAGATTGCACACTCTGTAGCATAAGGATAGATTTGATAATAGATGATGTCCTAGGAAAGCAGGTGAACCATCACGAAATCCAAAACTTTACTGGGAAAGGTGGGAATTTATGCTTTCACATAGGTAAAATCCCTCTAAAATTATCAGGTCAGGGTCTGGCTGAGGTGGTGCAAGTTTTGCTTTATAAAAGGGTCTGTGCATTTGAACTGGCATGCAGACCTTGTATATATGGAGGCTAGTTATGCTATAGAAATCTGTGAATGGTGTCCATCTTAGCATCTTATTTAATTTATATTTTTATACAACCCAATTAATCTCTCTTCCATTCCAGGATTTGATTATTTATACTGGTTTTTACAGCTGCTGTCATCTTAGTTGCTCTTTTTTCTTTTTGTTTCAAATTTTCTCACCTTTCATGTCTTACAGGCTCTACTGACCTAGTTCCCAATATCCCTGCAATTGTCTTTCTTGGTTTACCATCACTATGTAAGAAGATATATGGAAAAATTACAGGACTGTTGAAAATATCTATTCTGACTCAAAGATTTTCAAAAGAAAATTTTTTATTTTAGACTCAATTGCATAAATCTGTTGCTATAAGTAGTAGTAATATTAATTAAGAATGAGTTAGGAATCTTACCTTAGAAGACAAATTAAGTAAGGTAACTGCTGCATTTAGGTGTGGTGATAATCCAGCAGTTTCAGCTTGTTTACTCATGTGTTTGAATACAAGGAGAAGGTGACTTCTGTTTCTTTTTTGAGATGGTAAAGTCCCAGGTGTTTTTCCCAGGTATCTAGAAGAACATACCAATACACAATAAAAAGGAGCATAAATGCAGTAAAACCACTGTAAATTCTGTTAAAGAGGAGGTCAGTCCAAAATAATTGGTAAAATTAGGAAAAATCTATTTTGTATAATGATGTAAATACCAAGAGAGATTTTTATTTCTTGATTTAATAAACAAATAAGTTACAGATCTAGATATTTTTTAGGAGATGTACTGCATGACTAATTTCAGAAATTATTCCATTCCATATAAGGGGAGGGGGTGCTCCTTGCCCTATTTAGCTCAGTGAATAATGAACATTAATGTATTACATTGTTTATTGCATTTTTTACCTTCTGTGTCCAGCACTTGGGCGGACAGGTAGGAACAGTCTAGCTGTATTTTACTGACAGATTTCTCTGGGCATACAGTGTGACTGTTTTGAAGGTACAATTAGAGAAGAGAATTGTTTTTCTGTAACACACCTTTTGCTATTTTCATGTGTGATCTAATAACAGATGAGCACTGTTTACCTGCTTTCCTGGAATAGCAGATCATGTTTCTTTGCCCAAGGATGTGAAGTGAAATAAGCATTAGAGCAGTGAGCCCGTTTGCTTAGGAAGGTTGGTGTTTAGACAAGAAGGTTATGGCAGGATACAGAGCAGTCTGTAGGAAAAATACAGTGGATATAACTGTTCTGGTAGGAGAACTAAATTGAAATGGGGACACTACTGTTAACTCAAGTGTAATTACATTTCTTTGTTGTTAAAAATTAAATCCTGGGCAAGAGGAAAGTTTGAGCCTGAAACTGTGTTTTGAAACAAATTTGAGCTGATGCCTTTCCAAAACCTTTGGAGGTTGCCAGGATGTAGTGTTCAGGAGGTGGTTGCCTGCTGGAGGCATTTATTTTCTTTTATTGTCTAACATTTCTGTGAGTTTATCAGGCAGATTATTTATAAAACATCACCTACTATGAAGTTTTGCTTCTCTCCTGCTGTTTTCTCTACTAAACTGCAGTTTGAGGGAAGGGCTCACCTTCATGTTCTTTCATGTGCAACCTCTGGGTCAGCCTTTCCCTGGTCTTTGAGGCTGGCATTTGAATCTGCATGAAAATCTTTACAGTGCATCACTACCAGCACCACTGCTGAGCTCAGCCTTGGCCAGGGATGGATCCATCTTGGAGCTGGCTGGCACTGGTTCCACCAGTCATAAGGGAAGCTCCTGGCAGCTTCTCCTAGAAGCCATGCCTGTCACCTGCCCCACTACCAAACCTTGCCACAAAACCCAATACATCCCCTTTTTGCTCTTTTCCATCAGTGGAATGCATCTGTTTTGGATACCATTGGTTTACATTAACATTCAAAAATGACTGTGTTAGCTTTTGCTGCATTTCAGACAAACGAAGTTTTAGTATCTCAGCTCAGGCTCTGAATTTATTATATTTGTGGCATTTATCATTATTTCACTACAAATATTCACAGGTTTGGATTTTTGTAGTTCTGTGTTTACCCCAAAAAGTTATAGAATTGGGTTAAGAATGAAAAGGCTTTCAAAGCATCCTTGTCCTGAAGCAACTCTGACAGGCATGAATAACAAATGGATTGTTTTTCAGTCAAAGTGAATCAGCTGACATGAGCTTCTGTAGGGTTATATTTCTCCCATCAAGTTATGCAAGAATTTAGGTTACCTTGAATCAGTGATTGTAGGCTGAATTGACCACTGAAATTACAGATGATGTTGAACTTTGTGAGAAGATCAAAATGTATGGGATCCTGTGTTAGAGAAGATATATTTTGTCTGTGTTTTGTGCGTATTTAGCATGACACTGGATTGATTATATGATTTCCTAAAGCCACAATTTCTTTGGGGTCTATGTAATTTGTTTAAAAATGCAATGTGCAGTAAGAATCTGTACTGGTATTTATGGATATTGATTCATAAAAAATCCAGCCTAGACATAGGTGGATATTTAAAGAAGTATCACTCAATTGAAGATTCTGAAGAAATACTTGCAGTTTTATTTTATAAATGTTTTTTATTTCTCTTCTATGTTAGTCAAGGATAAATATGTTTATAATATTATTATTGTCATGTCTGTTATAATTAGACCCTGAGCAGGCACACAGTTATAGTTTGTGGATTAAATACTTCTACTAGAAATTGTACCATGGCATAATGAACCATCACTTTTCTTTTTCAACGTCTCGTTACTTTCAGTATAAATCTTCTGGAAGGACCATAAATTAATAGGTGGTCTTAAGTAGTTTTTCTTTTTCCCCAGTGTTGACAATTTAAGGTATAATAGGATTTTTTTAAACTTCGTTAAAAAAACTGCTCACTTTAGAAGTGAAAGACTACTTTTTGCTTCTGATAATTAAAGTCCCAAATTTGCTCAGAATTAGACTTATCTGAACTTCCCATTAGATGTCTTTCACATTGCTCTCTGCATGTCTTCACTTTCTTGTGTCTCTTTCATCAGTGTAGTGTCTTATTTCTACCCAGTGGCTGAAGGAGCTCCAGTGGAGGCTCTTTCAGAAGTCTGGCCTTATATTTTTTGTTATTTTCTCTCTTGAACATCTGCCAAGTGTGACATTTTAAAGTTCAGTGTTTTCACCAGGGCATTGAGCATTCCCTTAGATATTTTTCTGCAAACTTGTTATTTTTCATCAGCAGGAAGCCCACAAGTGCTGGGAGGTGAGTGCTGATCTTCAGCCTGCTTAGCTTGGCATGAAGCCCATGTGCCAAAGTTTTAGTGTGTGCCCTGATGGAGTCTCATTGCTGTGGTGACTGGGATAGCTGCTCCCAGGACTTCCCTGCTGAGAGGCTTGCAAACAGTCCACGAAAGCAGTGAGGAAAACTGAGAGCAACTTGATTCCATGGCTTTGGCATTTGTTGTGTGAAAGAGTCCTATGGTAGCATTGGTGATGATGCCTGATATTAATCTTGAATACCTCTTAGATTTGCTGTGTTATTAAAGCAATGGTGGTTGATGTTTGCTGGTGGCACCGCTAAGGGAAGGTCATGAGACACCTTTGGAGCCCTCTGGCAGAAGCGCTTCAGGATCCCAGGGTGTGATTTCCAAAAGAGTGTGGTAACAGAGAATATCAGGAGGCCTCAGGAGAAATTAGGAAAGATAATGTGATTGCTGAAAAATTAACACAAGTCGCAGCTGTATGATAAAAGCTTTAAAAAGTTTTTTCAAACCATACAAAGTAAACAGAAAAACTAAAAGTGACTCCCCAGGCAGGACTAAAGTAGATGCATTGTATCTAGTGAATGAGGCTCAGTGCTATGGTATTCAGCATAATTAGAATGTTGAGGTTGCTTTAAAATTTATAGTAGTTTCTAAAAAAATCTTGAAAAACTGCTTCATATTCTGCTTCCTGAAAGTGCAAAAGTTCTGCTAAGTACGGTAGGTTTCCTTGTTTTCATGTGTTAATTCTGGTATTCTAAAAGCGTGCAAATGGCATTTGTCTTTGGATTTACAAAAACTCCAGATATTCAGAGTTTGAATTATTTAAACTCCCACAACACATGCACTTTTGCTTTTCAAGCTTGAGTTATAATTTAATTAAAAACTTCTGGTGCATCGCTAGCTATTTAAATATTAAAATGTTCCATGGATCACTTTTGATTATCTACCATCATGAAATTCCTGAAGATGTCAGATTTTTAAGATTCCCAAAGTTGCACTTGGAATTGTCTGTTGATGCAAAGGGGACTGTGATAATTACATACATCCATTAGTATCAGCAGAGGAGATAAACTTTGGGGAGGCTTAATGGGCATGTCTCAGTGACAGCTAGCAAAGAACATTTGGCATGATTAAGGATGGATTTGAATGCACTTGAAAATATACTCTCATTATGGACGCCCAGTGGAAGTTGCACTACAAATGTTAAATTCCCCAGAAGAAGAGTTGTGTGGCAGGGAAGCTTTGAAATCCACTGTGACCATCATCCAAATTACTCTCTTCTCTTTGTGTCTTTCCGCTGTCAGATTCATTTTGTGATGCCCAACTTGGCTCCCTGCATCTTTGAAAAGAGACAACCTGTTGGTTTCTGTGTTTCAGATTGTCCGAAGATACATCAAGGACTGGCTTGAAAGGAAGAAGCCTCCATTTGGTGCTATCAGCAGCTCTGTGCTCCTGATGATTATCTATACAACGTTCTGCGATACTTTTGCCAATCCAAATATTGACCTGGATAAATTCAGCTTGATTATAATCGTGTTCATAAGTAAGTTTAGCTCTAAAATTACTCTTTTTTTGTATGTTTCAGGTCTCTAACGAGCTACATGTAGCGGGGGAGCTGTGGGGGTACTGGCATGGTGTTAGAGCTTCTAAAGCATCTAGTAAACCAGATTGCCAAACTTCTTAGGAGCTGGATGCGTTTAGGGATCTGAGTAAGCATTTAGAGAGGAATGAACTCTGCTATTTAGGTGTGCCTGAGGTTGTCTGTGGCCCTTCTTTTCTGAAATGGCATAGTAGTACTTTACAAGCATTTACTAGCATTCTGGTTTTGGCTTCTTTGTTATTGAACAGCCATAAAATACACAGATGTCACATTCCAAACAACAACAAAAGATTTGGGGTTGAGCTGTTACTCAGAAGCACTGTTATAATTTTTAAACTGTTCTTCCTTAGCATATTATAAACCTAGTTGGGAGTTTGAATGTGATGATCTGTTTCTGTGAATGAGCACATTTCTTAGAGTTTCTTTTAGAAGCACTCAAGTCATTCAGCCTTAAATAACATCCACGTGAGAATAGGCTGCTGGTATCCCTGCCATCAGCTGGAAACACGCTTGCAGATCCCTCCCTCCCAGGGAAAGGCAGTGCTGTACAGGCACTGTCTCCTCTCCCAGGAGGGATTTCCCATTTGCTTCAGACTGTTCACAGACAGGAGTTTCAATTTGCATGGAGGAGAGGTAACTACAGTATACTTCTGTATAAATCACATCTCATACTCTAAAACTGTTAGGTTTAAGGAGATCAGGCCATCACCTACTTTGAGTTGTGTGTCTGCATATGCTTCTGTCTAATAAAAATAATGGATCTTCTACAAATCTGACCTCTACTAAAGCCAGTAGGAAATTTACCCCAGCCCCTTTGTGCATCAGATCTTAATTCTGTCCTAATTGTGCCTTTTTTTTGGACTAGGAAACACTATACCTGTATAAAATAGTACATGGAATTATAAATGGTACAATACAAATGTTTTATTCTGAAAGCAAAGGAGTAGGAAGCAATGCTATGGAGCTTTTTTTGAAATGGAATAAATACTTCTTTGCACTGGCACCCAAGAAGGACCTTGCACTTAAATCAGTGTAAATTTGTCAGCAAAAAAAAATGGTACAGAGATTTTCAACTCAAACTTAATGTGCAGAGAAACTCAGAATGAAGTAATTTTGTGGTACTCTGCTGACCCTACTTTGAAAAAACCAAAAAAAGTTTGTTTTTTTTTTAAAGAAGACATGTTCTTCCTAGAACTGCTGATGTATAGTGTTTGCTTCTGTTGCCTTGCGTGGCCTTTATTTCTCTTCAAGACAACTCTGTATGTGTGCCACGTGGAATAAAATGTACCATTTGCTGTGGAATACACTGAAAGTCATATCTACATTGCCAGTGTGCATAGGTGGAATTTCTTATTGAGAACATTAACATAAGCATTGGAACTACTTGGAACATATTAGACAATTGTTTGGGTTTTTTTTCTGGAATACTTACAAAACCAAGAACCAAGGAAGTTTTGGAGATGGGTAATGCATGTTGTATTCCAGAAGAAGTTTCTGTATCACCATTGGATGTGTCGGCTGGATGCGTATATTGTATTACACCAGGAAGGGAAATTAGCATGAGAAGTTTGAGGTGAAACTGAGTTTGTTATTCTGCTGATTAATGTTTTTATGTAATTTTTATGCTAATATTCTAGCCACAGCCAAATATTCACAAGGAAGAATTGGTAGCAACACATGTTTATGGTTTTCCAGAATTATGTGTAATAAGGGACTGTTTTTTCCTGTGCATATTAAATTAATATACTTAGTTGGAGAAAAATTATAATTCAGGAACAATGGATTGCTTCTTTAGTTCATGAAGGAGGAATGAAGTGCATGCTGATGTGACATTTATACATGCTAGGAAATGTATGTAGGAGAATAGAAAATGTCACTGGTAATAGCTAATATCCCTGCCATGTTTCCCAGTTATAAACTGGGGTCAAAATCAAAAACATTGTCTTTACTTGCACTGCTCTATGAGGCATGTCAGCCTTACTGCGTTCACAAGTTTTGCAAGGAGTAGGGAGAGGACCCACCCCAGATTCTGCTGCAAATAAAAGCCTTTTCCCCAGAATCTACAAACTCAAAGAAAAAAAAGCCTGTGCAGTCACAGGGTCTCTCTTTCAGCCCTGTAGGGATTCCTCATGCTCAGGGCTGATGCTTGGTCTCTGCAGCTACTCATGGAAGCCCCTGGCTCCTCCTTGTACCTCTGCAGTCCAAGGATGGGCTCTGTGCCCCCCAGAGCCCCTGTGGGTTTCTGCAGAACTGGCAGAGAGAAGAGCTCCCCTTGGGATGCTCACTACTACCTGCACTTACAGAGCCGACTGAGCTTGAAGGAAATGTCTGACACACACTGCCCAGCCCAGGAATTAGCCTTTGTCTCAGAGAATTCAAACATCTATGATGATCTTCTCTTTCTCTCCCCATGAATGATCATGATTAATATACCCAGGGCTGGGAATATTTATTTGGATCATCCTTACACACTGTGCTTTCTCCTGTAAAATAGCAAGTCTAAATGCCCAGCAACCAGAGCATGTCTGACACATTTTATGTTGTCAACCCAACAATCAGAACTTGTGCAAAGAGATGTGCAGCACATGCACTATTTCCTGCCATTCACTGTGTCAAGAAATACTTGATTCAGAGGATCTACCCCAGGAGGAACTTGTGCAGCCATAACATTAATTCTGGCTTCCCTGGATATAATGATCTGTGTTGTTCTTCCAGGCAGTCTTTAAAGGTTGTTTGTCAGTGGGTTTCTCTGGATAGGCTTGATCCAGCCTCCTTTCTGACCTGCAGTACGGGAACAAAAGGCATGGACACAGTAATTACAATTGTGGTCTAATTTTAGCTTGTTTCTCTTTCAGTATTTTCTATTCAGATGAGCTTCATGTTTTTGACTTTCCTCTTCTCCACAAGGTAATTGAATGTGCTGAATCCCAACCTTTGAATAATTCTTTTGTGTGATATCTTTGGTTTGGGTGACAAAGTTTATGCAAATGTGTAAAGGCAGGTTTCTGAATAGGGGTGACCTCATTTTGGTATTTCAAATTGTCCTTACTGCATTTGCTCTGTTAGAGTTTCATAGGCTGAGAGAGCAGGACCTGAATTCTGTCCTTTCATGTGTGTTAATTACAGAGTTGTTAAATCTCAATCAATCACTGCTATACCTCATCCACTGAAAAAAATGGATTTGCACAGATGTCACTGAAGGTATAATTTGCCCTGCAGACATGCTGATGACATATGAGAGAAAGAACTCAGTTTGACTTTTTACATCTCCAGATACATTTGCTGTGCTGGCAATTCACTCCTCTCTATATAAATTTGCTGCATTTATATGGTGATTCTTAAAAGACAGCTGTCCTGAACTAATGTTTAGTAGAGCTTTTTTTTTTTTTTTTTTTTTCTTTCTTTTTTAAAGTATCAACCAGGAAGGACAATTGTTCATTCTCAAAAAGTAGTACTGTGAGAATGGTGTTAGCCAGTGACTCAGGGCATCACTGATGCTGGTTGGAGTAGCCACAGTTGCCCTCTCATTTAGGCTTCCTGGAGTATTTGTTTTAGCGGCTCTCTGCTGAAAGGGGAGTGCCACAATACAGCAGATCCAAGCATATGCTTTATATAAATTATACAATATCCACAAGGGAGGCTCGCAAAGAAGGGTACAGTGTCTTAGAACTACTTAGGCTTTTTTTTTGGTGCCACAAGAAAATTTGTCTGTGACAAGATCATATCCTAGCCTTAAAAGGCATTTTAAAGTAACTTATGAACTGCTTGACCTAACCTGAGGGGAAGATATGCCCCAACTGTGAAATCTGAAATACCTTAAGCAGTAACCAGTTTAATATGGTGAATATTTAGAATCTCATAGAATTACTCCTAATTTGGAGCAAAGGGTGATCCATTGGCCAGTCATCTCTCTCTCTCTCTCTATGTATATATATATATATATATGTCATTTTCCCACCCCTCCTGGCCTTAGTCCAGTGTTTAAACCCTTAGATGTAATTTTTCTCTGAAGTGGAAGCTAACTCCGTAGTGTATACTCAATATATTGTCCAAACTGAGCATTTTGTTACTGCTCCATACTAGAAAAAGAAATAATAGGTAATTTTCTCTTATTTTGTGGAGGCAAATGGGCCCTGCTATGGTATTTTTGCATGTTTGACAAAATAAACTTGGCTGGAATAAAGTTATGTCCTACACACCATGTCTTCAAAATTTCTATCCTTCACATGGGAGTGTATTCATTAGAGAGCTTGCCACAACAGAGAAACAATTCTGCTATAAAAAAAAAGTCAAACACTACTGTTCATTTATGGCTGGAATTATTTCTGTCAGTAGACTGATCAAAGTGATGTGAATGTGTATATGGATCCTCAAAGTAATAATTTTGATAGATGCTGTTTTAAGAAGGTTTTTGCTATCAGAGGTTATTAAAACTCTTTTGTTTCTTAGGAATAACTCTACTTTCACACCAGCAGACACAGTGGCTATCGTTTTCTGTTCCACACACAAATCCCTCACCCTGGGTAAGTCAGGAGATAAGCTTGTGAGCAAAACAACAGTAACAGTAATGCCTTGCTGTGTTGAAAAAAAAAATTGGTTTAGTTGCTGGTTTTTCTGCTTAAATGGTTTTGGGTTTAGTATGACAAGTACTGCTACCAGTATGATACTAAAAGGTAGTATAATATTTTTGCACAGATGAAACTAATGCTTCCTACAGGGCAGAGAACACAATTTTCTCAGCTGAGATTTTAGTGGTTGTAGAGTAAGACCACCTGATTTGTGGAAAGCTGTATTTTTCTTTCTATTCTTATTCTGCTCTGTTGCCTAATCCAATGCTGATAAAATTTCAGGTTTGTTTCTGAAGAAATGGCTATGTGTATCTGCCCAGTTTGACAGTAAAATCTTACATCTAAAAGCTGGGATGTACCAGTGAAAATCAAAGGACATACAGTGTATTCAGAAATCACAAATTGACAATACTCTTTTGCTTAATATGAGCAAAATGTGTGTGTTGAATCTGCAGACACTTTGGATAGCCTTATTTCTTGGCATTCATTTATCAAAACATCATAGAGATATTTGTCACTTATGACCCCATAGTGATAATAGAATATTCTGATGGATATGCAGAAAATACTGTTAAATCAGAAATGTTTACAACCATTTGCTGCTGGTTCATCCATTATATTCAGTCAGGGATACAACTGGACTGTTTTCAGATTATAAAAACAGATGTTTGGTAAAGCATGTATGGCTGAATATCTGACTCTTTTCATGAGTGTAACTGTTAAAGAGGAGCACAGCTAGTGTCAATGACAAAGGTAAGCGCTCAGCCTGAAACAGGGGAAGAACAAGTTGGGACTTAGATGTTTTCCAAGTCAGTTTGATAGAGCAAAACTCACCTCAGGTTCTTTGCTTCAGCCAGGCCTGTGCTGCAGGACTGTTAGCGAGTGCCTTTGAAAGTCTGTGGGAAGTGGAGGAGTTCCTGGAAGACAAGGAAAAGTCAAACAAAATGTCCCTTTTTACAGTGGAAATGAGGAGGGGACGAGGAATTATAGATCAGTGAGTTTTACCTTCATTTTGTAGAAAACTACTGAATCTAGTCATTAAATTATTTTAACAGTGTAGGAAGAACAAGGAGATGAGTAACAGCCCCATAGCTTTGTCAAATACATAGCATACTAACCTAACCTACCTTCCTTTCACACAGGGTCCTGTGGGTTGCAGGGAGGCAGCAAAAGTTGTGTGGCTTGAGAGTGTTATGGCTTTTAATATTTGCACAATGTTTTGGGCTCCACAATTCAAAAATTATATGGGCTAATGGGAAAGAAATGAGAAGAGAGTGCCATGAATGATCATAGACCTCAAAAATGTGACCCCAGAGGTAGATTGAAGCAGTTGGGATTGTTGAGAGAAGATAACTGAAATACTCCAGTGATCTCCAAATGCATAAAAGGTCGATGCAAAGAAGGAAGAAAGTAACTCTGTCACAGTGGACTTTGTAAAGGGAAGGACTTTGTAACAGTGATGATGATTTCAGCTAACACAATTTTCAGGGAAAATCAGGGAAATCTGTCCTAGTGTAAAACAGTTCAGCTTTGAAATATGTTGCCTATTGATGTCTTCAATCTCCTATCATTGTAGACAAGCCTCAGATGGGAATTAAAGAGCTGGAGTTGATCCTGCCTTGGAGCAGAACATAGATTAAATGACTTTGGTCTTTTTCAGCCAAATGTTCTATGACACTGAGCTTGGGCTAATAAAGGCTTGTATTCAGGACAGTTTCTCTTGTATTTGTAGAAAGCAACTGCACACATAAGTCATAACACACTGCTGTGCTTTCTGTTTGGAAGTGTGTATGAACATAGGGCACCACTGTGATACTACAGAAGAAAAGCTGGAGAAGCTGGTTGTGTTTAACAGCACAAATGTGCAAGTTTCCCTTTCTCTTCCCAGACAGAATACTTTTATATATGCTCTGTTGCATATTTCTGCCAGCTTGCCATGACACTAAGAAAATAAGCACAAAGCCTTTTTAAATATTTAAGTCCTAAAGGGGCTTGCCATCACCCCCCAAAAAATGAGGACTGTTCATTTATTTTACTCACTCTACCAAGCATCCTTATGCAGCCTGTCTTGACCTGACCCTGTGCACACAGCTGAGTCAGTTCACTTTTCTTCTACTACTACACTCTCAATTTTTTATGTTATTTTCTTTTTTAGAAGAACTTAGTTTGAGGTTCCTAGCTCCCTTGACCTTTTGGCTCACATTTTCCCAATTCCAAGTTACTGCTCGTATTAGCATAACCTTATGAGCCAGATTTTGTATTCTGCAGCTTTCTTTGCCCAAGTACACTGGCAAAAATACTTCGGCCACCTTGACTTCAAGGACTCCTGCAGCTTTTCCCCAGCCATAAATACCTTTTTCCCTTAGTCCAGATATCCCATGTTTGAGTGTGCAGGTTGAAGTGAACACGCAGATAGTGGAACATGGTACTGTGGGGCTGTTTCTGAGCTGTGGACTGTTCTGTCTGTCAGCTTTGGGGCAGACTGCTTTCCAGTCATCCTGGGAGAGGAATGGAGAAAAGCTCCTTTTGGCAGTCCTCTGGGAGCCTGTCCTTGGTATGCCTGAAGTTACCTGCTGGTCTTGTGTGCACCCCTGCTCCATGAGCATCCAGGTGTGCCTGCTGTGTATCAGATTCCAGCTGGCTGACTTTGGAACCATTGATATTTTATTGTTTGGTGTTAGTACCAGTTCCAGATGACAGAGCTGTATAGAAACAAATGTGTATGAAAATAAGGACTATTGGATTTTACAAAGCCAGAGTGTGATGAGGCCTGTGCCTGAGCTGATGATGTAAACAGATCTGTTAACCAGAGCAGGCAGCATTTTTTCCTTCACTGGAGGTGGGAGCAGAGTAGATCTAATTCATTTTTAAGGATTAGCTGTTTCTGAATGACACTTAGATCTTTCCCTGTCCACCCTGGTCTTAGCAGAAACAAGATAAACACAGGCATTTTGGCCTTTACTCTTTTGGTGTTCTGGCACATTTCTGCTTGTCCATAAGTGTTTATTATAAACATGCAACAAGAGATCTTCTGCTTACTTATGGTCCTTCTCCCTCTGTCACTACAATGCCTGAAAGCACAAACATGGCTCATGCTCTCATTTCACATCTGTTGTAGAGCTCTGCTTTGTTTGTCTTCAAGATTCCAGTGGTAGTGCATAAATGATCCCCCAACACTTGTTCTTTCACTTTGAAACTGATTTCTCTCAGCTTGGCAGGTGAAACTCCAAATAGGTATGTCTGGCCCATTCCCTGGGGAGCTGAGAATGGCACCAACTAAAGTGGGAGAAGAGCTGACAGCTTTAAAGCTTTAGAAGTGGTAATAGGAGAGGCATGAGAAGACTTTTGTAAGTCACTTTCTCCCACACCATATTATGAAACCAGCTAATTCCCATGCAGTGCATGCTCATGAGGCCAACTGCCACTTCCACTGTTGCATCCATGAATAAGTGCTTGCTCTTCACAGAGATGTGTGCTGCTCCCATATGCTGGGTCTTATTTTGTAGACAGAACAGTTGACACACTTTTTGTCTCAAAGATCAGAGTGCAGGGTGTGTTTGTGTAAGGACAAATTACACAGGGTAGGTGCCTTTGTGTTCCTTAGCTGGGAGCACAAGCCGATACCTCTGCATAGAGGTGGGTGCTTCGGCGGGGTTTTGAATAAAGGGCATCACACATGCAGAAAAACCAATGTTTATTTGCATTTCACCTAAAGAGTGAAGCAGAATATAAACTTGCAAGGAAGCCAAGATAAATATAGTATCCACAATGGCCTCTGGCATTTTCACCCCCACATTGTTCCCTTTCTCTCCTTCTCCCTGCTCACATATATGCAAGGTACATGTGAGCGCACACATATGCAGACATTTGATGCATGGGTTTTATTAGTGCATTTGCCATTGATTGATTAGTACTTAGTATTAGTACTTCTTCTATTGATTGATTGCAGATGAAGTGACTATTTGACCTTTAATTATGAGCCTTGCTATTGAAAATGACATTGAGCTATGGCTTCACATAATCCATCTGGAAAGCCCGACATGATGCCATTCCCTGGAGTTCATTCAGTGAGAAGAGAAGAGGCCTCAAGGAAGTGCAAAGCTATCACTGTGGCTTATTTTAAAAAATACTGCAGTTGTTGCTTACACTTACACAAATGTTGCAGCCAAATACAGAATGTTAATTTATTTTTTTCAGAGTGTGAATTGGTAGTTAGAAGTTACAACTCTGAAAGGAAAATTCAGGATTGTCAAAACACATATATTTGCTTTAATTCTTGGTATTTACTATGTAAAATTATTTTATCAGGAAAAAATCAAAGTACTGTTACATATTTTGGCTACCACAAGTGCAAATATTAATACGGGAGGTATGATGAACAGCAGATTGGTAAAACAAAACAGCAAAAATAGCCCTACCTAATAATAAGATTGGGGTATTGTTTGTGATGGAGGATGTATTTTTCCTCATTTGGGATTCAGCAACATAGCAGTTCTGTCACCATGAAGCCTTTCAAATAATACAATTAAAGTTTCTAGCCTACCAAATAACTTTCAGGCAAGAATAGAGTTCATTCTAGAAATAAAATCAGGCAAGAATAGAGTTCATTCTAGAAATAAAAGCCAAAACACCAACTTTCTTTTGTCTTGTTTTAATTTAATTCAAATTTATTTTTTAAATACTTAGCCTCTTACTGCTCAAGTGCTTGAGCAATGGCCTGCACTTGAACAATTCTTAAAAGCCTGATGTAGTGCACAAGTGGATTCAGAGGGCAATGTCTGCGAGGGGATCATCCAGGCTGTGGATTAATCAGCCCGTGCCTTCCCCCGAGCTGCCCAGCTGCACAGTGGGACAGAGGGCATCATGCTGACATATAGCTCCAATCTGCTGCCAAGTATCTATAGTTTTTTGTCATGCTTTCTACAGATATCACCTTATAAGATTTTTCAGGATAA